CATGCTGGCTGGGGAATTCTGGGAGTTGAAGTCCACTCATCTTAAAGGGGCCAAGTTTGGACAACACTGCTATAGGAGATTGACCAGAGAGGAAAGAGATGTGCCAAAGGCTGGTCTCTTTCTTCCAGAATGGGTGTCACCGACTCAATAAGAATTCATTTATTTTGTCTATCAAGCTTAAAGAACTAGAAGGGTGTGGAAAGGTGCAAAAGGAAAAAGGGGGGAAAGAAAAGAGAGAGAGAAGAAATTAGCAATGACTTCTGGAGAGTGCATTTCAGCTGCTCCCGCAGCCCAGCCCTTTCTCTCGTTCCTACGCACAGAGAGAATAAAAGCCCCACAGCTCAGACTGTGTTCTAATAATCCCCGTCTCCTTTTCACCAGTCTCTCGCTCGCTGGGGAAGTCTCAGACCTCCAGCCTGGAACTCGGTGGCCTGGGCATCTGTCCTCGCCTGGCTCTCCGCCAGCCCCTGGGGAAGGCCGCCTAACGAACAAGGCGAAAAGCAAAAAAAAAAAGGCAGCCAGACAGACCCCTTGTGGTTTTAAAAGCCTGCAAGAGAGGATAGACTTTCCTCTCCTCATTGGTTTCTTGGGGAAGATTTTAGCAGACTTCAGGTATCACGGCCCATTTTATCTGCTATTTATTTATTTAACACCTTTTTGCAGCCACCCATTTCTGGGCAGCTAACAAAACTCAGGGATAAAATCACACAATTTAAAATCACAGCAGAACCCAGAATTAAATAACAACAACAACCACTGAGGGTCCTTGCAAAACCATCTCATAACGCAGAAAGGCCACCACGCCAGGCTCCGCAAACATCCTGGCCCTGGCCAGGCCTTCCAGGAGATCACAGGATCGGGGCCACCCGAATCTCAGGGGGAAGCTGTTCCAGAGAAGGAAGGCCCTCTAGTTTTGTGGAAGAGACCTGGAGCACCCCCACCCTGCCAGATCCATGACCTATCCAAAAATCTGAATTGATATGTCCAGTTTCTCCTCCTTTAACTCCCCCAATATCTGAAACTCTTGGGAGTGGGATTCTGTCTCTGCGCTCTCCTGCCCTATAAACTGCAAAGGTCATAAAAACAGAATATTTTCGGTATTCAAAAGAAAATATAAAAACTCTTTCAAACATATATTGGTTTGGAGATCCAAATATACAAGGGGTTCAAACAATACGTTTCTGCCGAATGCTGAAAATTAAAGGGGAAAAATAAGGGGAAATATTGCTTTTTGGATCACTACCATGAGGAAATATTCCTTTCCTCCCATAAAAAAATAACACAGCCCGGCTCTTGCGCACCATCCTTGAAGCAGAGTTAGTTGATGCAATCTACAAGAGAAAAGGTTAATGATCAAACATGGCTACAACATGTGCTGGTCCAACAACAGCTCTGCATATTTCATGGCCACTTCAGAGCTAGCTCTCTTCAAGCAAAACCACCCTAAAGCACTCATAGATGAATTTCTTTCCCTCACTGGTCTGATGCAACTGCCACTTCGGAGCAAACGTGAGAAAACAGTCAGATCTTGTGGGCAGCAGCTCGGAACACAAAAGAGGGACACATTCTGGAGTCTGTTGTAACAAGGACCGTCTGCCCAGCATTGCCTTCTCTGCCGTTCCGGGATTGCAGCAAAGATCTACTCCAAACTGAGTTTCTGTGCAGATCTAACCTAGCTCAAGTCTGCTTGGATGAGCTTCATAACTAGGGACCCTCGAGAGGGAGACCTACCAAACCTCCTCGCACTAATTCCAATGGGAAACTCATTACAGATGCTCTTGGCCAGTGTTGTCCAAACTTGGCCACTTTAAGATGAGTGGACTTCAACCCCCAGAATTCCCCAGCCAGAATGAGTTGAAGTCCACTCATCT